AAAGCCTTTGCCCTACAAAGTCGGTCATCGGTGTACAGGATAATTCCTTTTCTGAGTCGCGGCTAGGTGATACTGTGAAGCTTTAAAACAAAGGCGTGTACACTTGCTGTCCTCAACCAGGCGCCAGGTAAAACCCACGTGCCGTCTCCTGAAAGTGGTAAAGTCCCAGCCGATGGGTCCAGCCTATTACCGCTGACTTCTCGAACGTGGCAAATTCGCCCTGGCCAGGCACCCCCCGGGCTGGAAGGAGCCGTCGGGGCTCGTTGTAAGGACCGTGGTTTTAAAAGGTGCTTTTTCGGGCTCCGGGATGCGGGGGCTGATGCTGTCTGGCTGTGCTGGTTCCAGGCTGTGCTGATGTATGAGATGCTTAGGCGGTGTTTCTTTCTGGCTCTTTCAGTTTAAACACCACGTAAGCTCTCGTTTTGCGGCTCTGTGTTTCTGTGGTAGTAGACGTGGTATTTACAAGGTGGGACCGTAAAGATTGTGGCGTGTTGTGTGGGAGAAGAGGTTTAGATCCACCAGGGCTGATAGTAGGTGTTTGATTAAAGCTACGATTTAAGGATGAACAAACATTGAAATGCAAAGTGTTTGGGTGTAATTCAGACTTTTTGGGATCCTGGATGTCTTTTGTCTTTCTTAGCAAACAAACCAACCAAGGAAAACCCTTGGTTTAAGACTACCGAAGTTTCCTGCGTTACTCCACAGCAGTTACTCTGCAGGTGCGATTTTTGGAAAGGGGAGATTTATTGCATTGTTTTTCAAACCCTTTTTTTGCAGCGTGTCCTTCGTGAAGGACCGTGTGCGTTGTCCACGTTTTCCATTGGCAGCAAGAGCTGTTGCTGCTGGGATGTAAAAATTAATTTGGTAGCAGAAAAAGGGTCCCTCTGAAATGTTTCTCCGAGTGTCCGTGGAAGACAAAGCTTCTTTCAAGCAGCCTGAGGATTTTATTTACTCTTTGCAGTTGCTTGCTCTGGATTTTCAATGCTCTGCCCTTGTTTATAACCAAGCGCTTCTATTTGACAGCTCTGCTGGGGAGATGGTTTGCTAATGGAGAGAGGGCGGCAGGCACGACGGGGGCTGCGGGAAGGGGAAGGATGGGGGCTGACAGCGTTTGCTCTCGGGAGCGCTGGCGCTGGGCAGCGTGCTCCCAGCGTTCAGGCCAAACGCGCCGTGTTGTGTGAGGTAGGGCGCGTGGGTTTCTCTCTCAAAATTTTCTTTTGTTCTGGCGTAGTGAAGTAGATCTCACTAGCCGTAAATATCAGTGGGCTGGTTCTTTTTTCAGCTGTTAGTCTTACTGACTCTTTTTTTTTTTTTTTTATAATTGGTTTAAGTGGGAGTAAAGTTTGGCTGTGGTGTATTGGCTTGCTTAAATTTTGGGTGATTTGTGTTCTTTTGCTGCTTTTCGGGGCTTTGACATATGGGATGCTGAGGCCATTTGTTTTCCTCCCTGCTTTTGCAGTTCCTCCGGTACACTTGTGAGTGATGAACACACGGATTCGAGTCCCTAGGATTGCTTAAAATCACCAGGAACTAAATATCGGCCTTATCCAAAAGCAGAAAGGAAACTAAAGCATGGCTGGGATTTCCCGAGGGGATGTTTGCTGTGGGCCCTGTCGCTGCTGTGTCTTCCCATGTCACCCAGGGCTTTTTTAAAAACCAGTCATCACTGTAACTTTTTCAGGCAACTGTTCTGCTGGTGAACGAGGCTGTAATGTCATTTTTCTTGCCTGGCTGAAACAACATCCAGCATTTTAAACAGAAGGTGCTGTTGTTGAGCGGGCACTTTATTTAAGAATAAGTGTTGTAAATACAGGGCTAAAACCACTGCTTATAAATAAATGCTTTTTATTTCTCTTGGGAAAGCAACTTCTGTGCGTGCAAAAGCCCCAGAGAAAGTCCCTGCTATTTGCTGGTGGACACTCATTTAATGCAAGTCAAGGCCGGTTAATTTTTCCTGCGGACACAGTGTGAATTGCTGAATTGGGAGCCGTTGTGAAAGATGCAGGATGTAAACAGTATGTATATTTGTGGGCTACCTATGTAAAAGTTGCGTGTCCACCCCTGGTCACAGGAAGGGAGAGCACAGTCTCTGAGAAGAGACATGGGTGGGATGATTGCTGAGTTAGCACATCTGCTTGGCATAAGTAATTGCTGCTATTGGTTTGACCAGATTAAAGGTTTAAAAGCCTTTTATTAAATCCTTAAAAAAATAGGAGGTAATAAAAGTATAAATCCTGCTTGTAAGGAACGAGGAGGGTTTTTTCCCCCATAATAGTTTTTTATGCTTCAGAATCTGTATAAAACTTGGAACGCATGTGTGTGTCTACTGTATGATAGATTGATCTGAGTTTTTTATTTGTTAGCTGGTGCTTTTCCCCTGGCATAGCAACGGTGCTGCAGAGGGCAGCGTGAAGCCTTCCCGCCTCCCTGTGGCACATGCCCTCTGCATGCCACAGTTTGCAGAACTGTTAATTTAGGATTGCGCGAGGGAGTTTTATTACGGGGGTATTTTGTAGTTCTCTTCTTGGGAAGTGTCAAAATTTTAATGTCTGGTGTCCTGAAGCCTTCCAGAGCAGGCGGCTTGGTGCACTTCTAGAAGAGAGCAGTGGAGTGGGGAGAAGCTCCCTGTTTAATCCCCTGTGGGTCACGAGATAGCTTTAATCCTGTAATTTGTCTGGGATGTGATATCGGCCACCTTGGTCCTTGGGGCCAAGCTGCTTTTGGAAAACGAAAGGCAGGACTGCAGTTTCTTGTACGCTTAAAATGCTAGAAGTAGCCTTGGAGGGTGTGTGAGCAAAATGCAGATGGAAGGGGATGAAGATACATACGTATATAAATATCTCTATATGTGTCTATATATCTTAAACTCTTAAAGTGGGAATGCATCTTGTATTTCTACTCGCAGGCATCTTTGAATCTTTAAAACTAAAGACCACCTTAAATTGAATGTTTTGATGAGAAAACTATGGCCAAGACAGACATTTCAGTAAATGTTCTAGCCTTGAAACAACACACTTCTGAAATTCAGATCATCTCCATCAAGCTTTAATCCCTGCGTTTTATGTCTAATGGTCAGTTTGTTTTTTTACAATCTTCTAAACAAAGAATCTACCAGGCAAATGTTGAGCTTGTTAACAGTGCTTTAGTGTTTGCAGGATAGACTGTCTTTAAATTGTGTTAGCTGCTGCGTTCCAAGCAGGGTAAATGCAGTCCGGACACAAAGGTATCAGGTTTTTAGGTTTTGGGTTGGTTTGTTTGTTGTTTTTTAAATAATAATAATACTAGAACTCCTGAATCACATACACATGTACAGTCACCAATTTTATATTTTGTAATTGTTTTGTATGGTTCTGAAACTCTTTCCTGGATTGTTATATCTGTGTTTAAAAATTTCAAACTGATCTGTTTATTATGGGATATCTGATCTGTTTAATTGGGATATCTTAAAATAAATAATGTTGTCTTCTGCTTGAAAAGTGATTTATATGTTATTACTCAAATCATTGAATTTTTTAAAGAGCAAAGCTAACGCTACAAATTGACCATTTAGTAATAAAAAGAACTAATTACAGTTTTACAGTAGAAGCATATAAATGGTAAATTTGGGTACCTGTTATTTGTCCACCATGTTTTCTCTTCTGCGTTCCAAATTCAGTACAATCTCTGAATTTGTCAGAGGGAGAGTTACTCTGAATTTGGTCATGTAAAATTTTAAGTTGCTTTTTTTTTTAGCTTTGGTACATTTATTTTTATGGGTGAACCCTTCTAAGATTTTCCCTTTTTAAATGACAACTTGGTGGCATTCCTCACATAACGTCCTTTGGGTTTTTTATTCTTACCTCTAGAAAATCAAGAATTTCCAGGAAGTTGTTATTTATTTTAAGATATCCCATAATTAAAAAAAATATTTCAACTGTTGGGCTCACAGTCTTGCAACTAAGTATGTCATATGTCTGTGTAGGCCTTTGTGTGGGATACACCATGTGAGATCAAAAAGCTTCGTATATTTAAGAAACGTGCTCTCCTCGCCGTTGGTGTGCAGGGAGCAGACTCGGGGTTCTTGCCGAAATGTCGGGTCAGAAAAGGGGAATGCTATTTATCAGATTGCCAAAATCATTGATTTGAATCTGGGCTCTTCCCTGAGGATGTGCCTGGCTGTTGGAGTTGGCAGTAAAGTTTTTCTACTGCAATTTTAATGATTAAGTGTTGTGGTTTTTTTTTTTTTTTTCCTCAAATTCAGTATAATTCAAAGCAACTTGCAGCACATAGGCTTAATACCAAATGATTTTGACTTAGCCGTAATTATTTTGATTGAAATACCTTTACCTCATTAAATGAAATGCATCACTTCTTGCTTCGCTTGTCAGCTTTATCTGGTAGTGCTCAAGAAAGTGGCATAATTTCAAACTTGCGGGGGTTTTTTGTTTGTTTGTTTGTGTTTTTTAATCCGGTGCATTTCCCCCAATGGCAGGAGGAGTGGAGGTATAGGATACACCTGGCCATATTTACTGAGCCTAAATACAATAGGAGCTGATAGGAAGAGACATAGAAGCTGTTGGTTGCAGACCGGTTTAGAAATTCTGTTGTGTTAGGGGCATATATACATACACATACAGAGAGGGAAGGATGGACAGACATGCGAAAGAGGAATATTAATGCCAAGGCATTTGCTAGCGTATGTAATATATGTGATCTCAGATGAGTAATAAATCACATTTCAACCAGTGATGTATGGTTCAATTTGTTTAACGTCCAGAATGTTAAAACATTATTAAATGTATTTTTGAAATGAACAAATCTTGGTTTTTTTCTAACTCGGCTTTTTTCTGCTTTAGTCTTTGAGGTGTTTTTTTTTACCCATACTTCTGATTTGAGTGTTTCATTGTTTATAATTAATTCTGAAGTGAGTAGTCACAGGTTCACATGTACTCACAAAACGTCATCTCTGTGTTTATTGGGAGAAAGAGTAACACCTGCGCTCTTCTCTTTTTCTGTTCCAGGTGATTGGAGCCCTTGTCCTCGCGGTTGGGATTTATGCAGAAGTTGAAAGACAGAAGTACAAAACTCTAGAAAGTGCCTTTCTAGCCCCAGCAATTATTTTAATACTTTTGGGCATTATAATGTTCCTCGTATCTTTTGTGGGTGTACTGGCTTCTTTAAGAGATAATTTATGCCTTCTTCAAGCCGTAAGTGTTCGGTTTTTTATTCTTAATTTTTAAGGCTCATTGCTTTTGCTTTTCAGTGTCACCTGAATTCAAACCCATAACTATGTCTGCATTGAAAAATATTTTTTAAAAGTTGCTTTTTTGCTTTTAATTAAATCTGAAACTGCTCTATGGCAGTGGCCCCCTAACCGTGGTCTGTGGATGTCCCTCCATCAGGGAGCAGCAGTATTTCGTCTTGCCAGCGACAGGATAGGCGAGGGTCAGAGCCCGGCGCTGAGAAAACCAGCTTTCCAATAGTTAAGGG